GGGGAAGGACTTTGCAGACACCAAGAAAGTTGATCAAGACTGGTATCGATTCTTCGAGAGTCCCGGTGTGTTGGACTATTTTCCATTCCGATGTTCTGGTCACGCGGTTTATTGTGCATTTTTACTTTAAATATTAGCATATTGTACACTTGTTGTCGTCATAAACTGTTGTCTAATATACAATTTATGTATATCAAATGTTATTAACATGCATATTTTAATTACAATTTCTCCCAAATAAAATACGGTATGCCCCTTTTATTTCTATTTTGCGTTTTTCCAATTGTCAAATATGTGTCAAAATAATTTGTTGCAATATCCTGGCCACGCGAGTCGTCGGTTATTTTTTCGCTAAAATGTAAACATATTTTACTTGTGTTGCAATTAAAATCTGTTGTCTTATATTCGTTGAAAAGGTATTTCCAATGTTACTAACATGAAAATGATAATTACAATTACTTCCAACCAATAAATACTGTATGTGTCCTTTAATTCTATTAAAATTCTTGTTTCAATGGTCTTATATTTGTTAAAATGCATTTTAAATGCTACTAATTTATATGTTTAAACCCCAAATACTGCCATCAAAAACAATGGTGTCCCCTATTTCTATTTTGCTGTTTTCCAGTTGTCAAATATGTGTCATAATAATGTCAGTTGCGATGTCCTGGCTGCGCTGGCCATCGGTTATTTTTCGCTAAACTATACACATAATGTGTTGTAATTAAAATCTGTTGTCTAATATTTGTTTTAAAAAGTATTTCCAATGTTACTAACATGTATATTAAAATTACAATTACTTCCTTCCAAAAAAAATACTGTATATGTCCTTTAATTCTATTACAATTCTGGTTTCAAATTGTCCAACCCGTGTCATAATATTTTCCGTTGCGATGTCCTGGCTACGCGTTGTCGTCGTTTATTTTTCGCTAAAATGTAAACATATGTCTCTTTTATTGTCTAATATTTGTTAAATAGTATTACTAATGTTACTAATTGATATGTTTCAATAAAATTTCCCTCATCCAAATAAAATACCTTTAGTGTCCTGTATTTCTTTTTATGGCCAATGGCCATGACTGTTGGTAGAATATTTTGATATAACATTATGTAAATGTTGTTCATATTACCGTTTCCCCTTGATCTGATTAGCCTCTAATGTTATGGAAATGTATTGAGATATGAGAAAACAGATGGTTGTATTCATCTCCGTGAGACAGCTTACTTACTAGTAGTGGCTATATGTCAAAAGAAGATGTTTTTTGATCCAAGGAACATATTTCATTACTGATGGAGGTAAAAGTTTGAACAAAATTGTAATTGCCAAAAAAAATAATGTTTATAAATGATAATGAGATTCGAAAATAGTTTTCTATAATTTACAATAAAGGCTTTTTCAGTTCTAAATTAAAATTAAAACAGAAAGTTTTTGTAATTAGTTTCTGAACATTGCTTTTTTATTATTCAAGACTTCTGGATAATCGAGGACTTGGCAGACAACCGTGTGGAAGTTGATCAAGACTGGTCACGATTCTTTCGAGAAGGAACCGGCACTTATTTACTCGCAAGAAGGTTTCGTGTTTGGGGCAGCTTTCTTCACCTCTGTACCGGCAGATTTGTAAGACTGGAAGTTGTTTCATTGTTGAGAGAGATGGATATGGTGTATTGTTAGAAAATATTTCCACTTTAATCTTCCAGGTATATCATGTAGTTCAAATCTAGAAAACGATTTATGAAAATATTTAAAGTGAGTTGGTCTGAAATGATAACACTATGATAACAGTTGTTTTTGGGGGGGTTTCGGGGGGGGGTGTTGTTGTTTTGGGTTTTTTTTCATCACTTCAAGATTACCTTTATTAACCTGTAAAGTCTAATATTTTTGACATATCTTTTTTATGATCGTTGCCTATATTTTTATTAAACCTTTTTCATATAAGGAGCTGGAGATGTGACTTGATGACAGTAACGAATTAGTAACTTTGTGTTGACGGCAGGAATAAAGCAGGAAAACGAACAACAGCCTCCATACTCGTATGTATGACTTTTTATGTTGAATTTTCATAAAATATAAATAAATAAAAACCCTAACAAATCTGACAATTGTAATTTGATTAAAAAGATTTTTTGACAAAAATTATTTGGTAATGTGAATTAAGGTTTAGTAGAGATTGAAAAAAAATCAAATTACTTAATTCATTTAAGGGATAATCAAGCTGAGTTGTTCTTTAAAGACGTGTTTATAAAAGCTGTACGCAGTTAACAATCTGGGATGCTTTATTAACACTATCAGAGCACTTTTACTAAAAAAATGTTACTATTTGTAGATCTGAGAATAGTAAAGGAATTCCATATGATTTGTCAGTAAAGATTTCCTGAGATTGAAAAGGTAAGTTTATATGATATTATAATGTTATTCTTGAACAAATTCATTGTTGTGATAAAGTTTATTGCGTCTTAAAATCTTGACAAAAGATGTACACAACGCATTAATACAGATTAATAAAACAAAATAAATATGCAGTTTCAACTTATTTTTATCAAAAAGATCTTTATGAAGAATGAAAAAATAATGTAAATTATTTGTCTAATGTTTCTTTGATATATCCCTTTTCTCTTGACTCCATGCTTCTAAGCATAATCACTGGTTGGCCTTTTTTTTAACTTTTTAACATGAAACTAATGCTGTTGTGACGATTATTGTATTATTCCCCCATTAGACACTCAGAAAATGGCATTTAAGAAATTCAAAGGCCAATTAAGCCTTAAAAATAGTACTCTTATTTAAAGGTTTTTAATGTTTAGTTTCAAAAAGTTGGCCAAATACATGAACTACCTTTTGAAACTTATGGGATGACAACTTTAATACTACATTTGTCGGGTGATAAGCATCCCTATCATAACACCATAATTAAAAACATAGTTGCCCTTCTTACAGAACTACATTTGTTTGAGGCGTAATGCGCCCTTCAAATATCTAACAGAGATATTCTGCGATAATTTATAAGTTGGACGTTTATAAGACAAACGTGAGAAAAGCAAAAGTTTAATTTCAAAGGCTAAGATGCAATGAGAAAGCTCGGAATGACTAGAAAGGAGCATATTTAACAAAAGTATTTGTATTTTTATTGCTGAAAAGATTGTAGGTTTCTCTAATACACATGAAAATTGTTCAGATATATTATACAAGTGCTTGAATTTTAACTTATATTTGATATATATCTCTACTGTAGTTGGCAATCAAAATATCGATGGAAATCCATGTCATTAGAGATGCAATTGGTATTATCTAATAGCTAATTTTGAATTTTTTATTATCCCAACAGAGCACAGCAGGGATTCACAGGTGATACTGCTTGCTAATTTGAGCATTATAGAATGTCCACACATACGATATCAAGAATCAAACTATGCAGGTAAATTTATATGAAACAATGTATTATATAGATAACTGTTGGTCATTTTCATTGTTAATTAATAATTTCTGTAATCCCAATTGCAAAATGTGACAACATTACATGAAGTACTTTTATATACTAGTTGTTGGCATGATTTAAAGTATTATGTTTAGTGCCATATTTAGTTCAAATGTTAATCTTGAAAACATTTTAAAACGGCAATTTTGCGCCATATTTATGATTGGGTGCAGTGTCGGAATGAAAGGATTTTCCTTTTTCTTTTTAATGAACTGTTTATTTTTTTAAAGAAATTAATGTAGAAGAAATAAGAAAATATATTAAACATCTTTTGCAAAACTTTTATTTAAGGGGAGAGTAGTGGTTTAGTGGTTAAGATTTCTGTCTCTCAAGTCAAGAATCATGGATTCGAGCCCGACTCGAGTCACGATTCCTCATATGACATCAGTACTCGTTAATTCCAGGGAGCACTCGGAAGTGATTAATATATGGTGCAATAATTTGTTTTGCAATCGAAATAAAATAATTGTTTAAACTAAAAACTTTATTTAATGAAATATCTTTTGTATTTTACTATGAATGATATGAATCTGCTTTTATTTTCACAGGACTGATTCTTCATGGCGGACGAGAAGTATAATCGATGTCCGGAATTACACGTGTATGGACACTAAAGTGACATTTACAATAGCAACTATCTGGCCACTGAATGGGGGAGAAGTGTAGCGATTTTGTGTGGACTCAAACCATCCAGTATATTGAAGTGAAACAATGTGTTAGTGTTTGGACAAACTATACAACTACACTTCTCCTAATGCTGCCTAGTTCTAGTAACTAGCATGTCCCAAGCCATGATAAAAGCAGAGGGGGAGAATGAAGTTCATAGTTTATGTAATTGTTCTTTTAACATATACAATGCAAAATATTAACTTGTCTTCAAAAACACCATATTACTAAGGAGTTATGTATATGATATTTTAATTCCGTCATAACTTTACTACCTATATTTCAAGAGTTCTTTCCACTTTGGTCTAGAATTTTATTTTAAGTTGTTTTATTGGAGAGGTCGTCAGACCTCTCCATAGTGTTGAACATGATTGGCGGCATCCATTTTTGCTTATCAAATTAAAGCTAATGCATCGCCTTTTAAGCCTTAAATCATTATAACCATTCTTCAAAAAATGTTATGCGCATGTTCCGCTTCAAAATACGACTTAACGAAAAATTAACATCGAAGTGAACAAAATCGGTACAAGGAAAAATCGGAAAATATCATTTACGTTACTTAACACAATACTTTAAACTGTATTAATCGATTATTGTTTTCTGAATAGCTTTCCCGAAAAACAGTAACAGTGGACATTAAAGCTACAATATCACCATGCACTTTTATATGACTGAGTGACCGGAGTACCAAAATTTTGCTGCCCCTTTAACTTTTAAACAAGTATTACTAAATTTCGCAGCGGAGAATTTTTGGCACAAATGGCACAAAAATGCTCAAGATTGAATTTCTTAGAATATTGTGGTTGGAGGCATTCAGATGTATATACTTCTTATTTCAATCAAATGATTATTTTTATGTAAATCTCGGACTTTAAAGTGTTTGAATAACATACTTTATGCCCGTTTTGGAAAATCTCTGTTGCAGAGAAAAATGTTTCCATATACTTTCGAAAACATTAAGCAAAAATTTGATAATTCAATTTTACAAGATTTTTTTTATACTACTTTAAATATATATCATTTATTGTAAACTAAGTTTGATAACATAACGTAAATTGTTCCCTTTGTGGAAAAATTTCCTTGATGCGCATATATCATGCTTAAATCTTTTAAAACATGAAAAGATGAAGTATAAAACAAACTTTAATTTTGATGCTATATTCAATATAATAAATTCTATTTCGTTAAATAATCGAAATTAATAAACTTTTATTGTGCTTGTTATGCAAAAACTATCTCCAAATATTTTCGAATTAAATAAGTCTTCCACAGCTACCAAAAAAATACCTCTCGCATGCTTCTTTTTAAAGAAGCAAACTTGTTCCATCTTTGTATTTTTGATCATCACCAACTTTAAATATGACATAGAGGATATTTGTTTAGTTCAGTGTAAGATCGGAATATATTTCACCGAGTGAGCACCAAAAGGTATATTTCACGAGTGGCACAGCCACGAGTGAAATATGAACTTTTGGTGTTCACAAGGTGAAATATATTTCGATCTTACACTAAACTAAACAAATTTTCTTTTTATTATATGCATTGAAACGTTTTAAAAAGACATTAAACCTAATACTGAATGAAAAGCGCGCCAAATAATAATACAACGTGACGTCATTTACGACGTCATGCCATTAAGTTGGTACCCAGTACTGTGCACGCTGGTATTTCACTGAAACAACGTAAGGGGCTTAAATTCAAAACAGTGAAATTATCAAAGTGGTAATTTCACTGTTTCAAACAGTGAAATTACCAGTTTTATATCACTGATATATTTCTATAAACCACCAAAAAGCATGTAATAAAAGGCTCATAACTCCAGTATCTTATTCATAATAATGATCACTAATATTTCTATATAACTTTCCCTGATAATTCCCTTATTTTCCCCTGACTCGACTTTATAAGTTGATGAAGCTTTCCTTAAGTGGTTAAGTGTTTGCCTCTCAATTAAGGGATTGTGGACTCGAGCCATAATCGGGTTATGCTGCAATTACTGGTATTGGTACTGCATAACTGTCTCAGAGTATTGCGAGTACCGAGGTCATAAATTATAGCATTATTATTCCATTCGTGGAAATAATTGAAATTGTACTAAATAAAAAATGTAGCCTGGGAGGATAATAATTGATTATTAGAACTGAAATTAATTTATTTTGTTGTACATATTGTTTTTATGTGTATCTGTATAAGCAATAGAAGGTGTGACGATGTTCAACTGGAGCAGCCGAAACACGTTTTGCCTAGTTTAGCCAGAGATGATACAGTAAAACATGTGCAAAAGTTTATTTCATATGTTGTAATTTCATATTACATTGCATTATGTGCGATTAATGACTGATTTCTCAGTATTTACAACTATATTTCTACTGCGTTACTAACGCAGTTAATGCTATTTATGCATATTTTGACCACTTTTTGGTAATTTACGTGGTTTGTTAGTGCCACTGATAGTGTGTAAATTGCTTCCTTTTAATTACTTCACAATATTACACATTCAAATACATTTTCAAAATGTTCATATAGATAAGCATGAATCTGGAGACGTGCTACTTTTAAAGTTATTATTGTATTGATCCCTTTAAACCTTATTATATTAATGATATATATGTGTAATATATTTACAAACGATTGTCTTTACATACATGATAAGTATCCACAATCCCAATCGAAGCGAGTCATTGCGAACACCAAACATGAATGTGATAGCTCAACAACAAAATATTTTTCCAGGATAATACAAAACACTTGCCACTCTCAAACATGCATAAAAGACCTTAAACATTTAACAAAATAATATGGAACGAAAATATGTGAATAGTTAACCTTTGGTATTTATTATGTCTGTGTTATTTTTATAATGTCTTAATTTACTGTATTAAAATCCATTTTAACAAAATAATATATGAAATTAAATCAATAAGACTTAAAAACATGTCATTTTCTTATCGTTATAGATAAGAATGCTAATTTTTCACAAGAGTGTCTTGAATTGGTTTTTATACAATAATAGTAACGCAAATCAAGAGGGTATCAGTTAACGTCCTTTTAAGTCCGCTCTGAAATCTTTAAAATATCATATTTAATTTGTTGGAAAATTTTAAGTTTAAATATTTTTTCTACTTTTCATTTTATATTAGTAACAGAATTATTATATTTTTGCAAAAACATGAGCGTTTCAAAAACGTATTATATGCATTCAATATTGGAGATATATGTCACACTTTGCTTTCACATATTAACATTGGGGCATTTTTGACGAAGTACGTATTTAATTTCTACATTCAACTTATTCGACTTATATGCTTGTAATAGAAAAGGTTATGTATATTTGCGATATGTCTACAATAAAAAAACACATTGATGATTTTAAAGTTACATTTAATAAATTTCATAAAAACAGAAATATCGACATTTCATTAATAAATTGGGTTTCATATCGACTCCAGATCTTATTTTGGTGTACAGATAACCAAAATAAGTTTTATAAGCATAAAAAATGAACGACCTCATTGTGGCGAAATCGGAAGTACAATATTTGTTTGCATGAGAAACTCCGCCTTCAGATCATCCGTACATCAATATTAAACTAACAATCATGACTATAAGTAGCAGTCCTAATTTAACGGTATATTTCCGCATTGTAACGGATATTTTCATACAAATTTAATCTTTTTTAAGAGATGATTACTTTTTACTGAACCTCAAGCCTAGTGCACCGTGAAGTTAAACGGTTAAAATGTGTTTGCACAAGAAAATCTCATATTTGTTGTGTTCCGGATAGCAGCTACACTGTGTATAACACTGTGACGTAGCGCATACACAAGCTGATTATAATCTTCATTTGCATGTTAAAATTCGTATACGAACTTTAGTGTTACCGTGGGGTTTTCCGTCTAAAATCCTTATTTATGAACATTATTTGATGAGATTTACAACAATACTGTTGAAAAGGTTAATGAATCTGCAGAATGCTTGTTTTTTAGGTCGACGGCAAAATATCTTTACATATTTATTTAATGTAGCTTTAATATCTCATCACAAATTGTTTCAAATACTTAGTATTATACTTATTGTGGTAATCGTTCATTTACGTTATGTCATTTATTTAATGTTATGCTTGTCTCATACTTTCATCCAAGTATCGTCTTAATAACAAACTAAATAATCAATAAGTACCTGTATAAATTACTCATTACAGCTATGTAAAATGAGTCTAATTTCTGAGAAAATAAAATAAAATTTAACATGACTAGACAATCTATAATCTACTG